ACTACGACGACCGGTTCCCCCCCCCCGCCCCCACCCTCTCATCGTACTCTAGTATTCTTGCTCTCTCTCTCTCTCTCTCTCTCCCTCCTGCATCCCGTCCTTTCATTTGGTCTCTTATTTTATTCCCCTTTTTCCCCACTCTCGCGTCTCATTCGCCGGTTCCTCGCACATGTTAGTTTCTAGCTTCTCTGTGATCTCACCTGATTTCTTTTTTTTCCCCTTTATATACCTCTTTTCATGACACGAGGAACAGGATAAGCAGTCGTCACGATCGGTGATTATTAGCGCTTATCCTTTCTGATTTCCTTTTCGGTCAGCGCAAGTCGCGCTTTATCTCGCGCTGAATCGAATGAATATTTTAACATTTTAATTGTGCGATTGTGACGCGATTCTTCCGTAATTTTCATACTTTCACATATGATTTTTGATGTCGTATAATTTCGTAGTTAAACCCGCTGCTTTGAATTTCCAATTGTGTGATAATCTTAAAATGTGATCAATTCTTTTTTATTTGGAATATTCTGGACTTATTAAAAATGCGAATCGATCGATTTACGTAACGCGAATCCAGTACCTGAGAGAATCCCGGGATAATCGGTATCTCCGCTATTTTCGATCCTTAGTTCCTGCTTTCTTTCGAGATTCTCTCTCGTCCACGGTTGGTCACTAATGCCGCTAAAACAACTCATTCATCCGTAATAACGCGCGCATCATTACCGAATAATAACGCCGGTCACGAGATTCGTGATGCTCCGAGGTAACGATCGTGTGGGTATTTGGCTTCGTGGAAAGGGCAGTGAATTGTCTACTGACGCCGCGGTGGACGAAGGTATCGCACCAAGAATGACGTGTCGGGAGTCGAAGAAACGATCCTGAACACGCGAAGAGGCGACGCGGATGGAGAAGCCAGTTTCCTGGCGTCGCTCTCGTTCGACCGGCGTTATTACGTAAAACGACGGGTTCCTTTCTGAGATCGTTGCGTTGCCACGCCTGGGGATCTAGGGCGATCCGGATCCTTCGCACGGCAAGGACTCGAAGGATGACTGATTCTCGTTACGATGAGAGAACTCGTTATTTTCAGCTGGAAAATTTTCTCGCGACACGAACGTTTGCTTCGCTAGACATAAAATTCAATTCCAATATGCAGCTTGTGATTGCGCGAATTATAAGTGATAAAGGAAATATTTCACGCTTGAAAAATTTATATAATCCTATACTTTATAGCACAGTAGGCAAAAAAAGGTGGAATAATAAAGAGTAACATATTGTTAGAGTTTCGATAGAGAACCTATAGAGTTTTGACTTTTTTATATCTTTTTATGCGCTATTTAACAGAAGCAGGAAGAGCGATAATATGAGCGCACTAACGGCGATTCGGCTAACGATCGTTTTACAGTTGTCGCGGATCGTGATTTATTCGGCGTAATCGATTGACGTTCTCGCTCGAGGCTTCAACGGCTGACTTGGCGCGTCCTTTAACGGGTTGGAGAGCTGCTATTTTTTATTTCCTCCTTTCGAAACGCGTCCTTGCCGGTGTCAAGTTCGCGCGTAGTCTACGTAACGCGATAGTCTGCTGTGCGTCATTTTCTTTTTTCGTTCTTTTAACATGAGCGGCGAATGTGAAATTCGAGGGGTGCGAGAACAATTAAAGAAGACGGGAGGGAAGCGTTTACATTATCAACGTACAAGTTATTAAATTGTAATTATGCATTCCCTGCTATAACTTTCATAAGTTATTTAATGTTTTTTTTTTCTTTTTTTTTCCTCAAAAGTGCATTGCAATTTATACAGAAATGATCATTAACGTTAATTCTTAACGAATAAGAGTAACAGAAAAACAAACTCTTCTTAGAAAGATAAATAAGTTTTTTTTTCATCAGAACCTTAAAGCAAGAGGTGCATCTTTTATCTTTCGAATATTCAATATTTGTGCAAAGTTGAGAAAGTAGTCAGATAAGGTCAACGAACGTATAAATAATTTCTTACTGCGTCACGATCTACGCATTATTATATATGATAGAATGAGCTATTACCTTAGCCAAGGTTTCTGTCACGGGATAAATCAAATACAACTTATTTCAATTTTTATCGAGAGATCAGCAGACCGATACCTTCGATTGATAAATTTTTGACGTTGAGAAAATTATTCACTTTGTACGTGCGGCGCATGTTTTGAAATAAGCACGATGACGAAAATAAGAAGGAAAGGAAGAATAAATATTTTGATTTATCAAAAAAGTGGAGAATATAAATTTTGCTGCAATCTCGCAATTAAATTTGAGATCTCTCGTCGTCCGTTTAATTGCAAAATTCATTGATTTAATTGTAAAATGTTTGGAAGAATCGAGGAAAGATAGTTGATTGGCAGATTAAATATTCGCATATAGACCTGTGCGAGAAGTTGGAAGGGATCTCTCTCGGTTGTTCGACGGACTTGACTCAATTAAAGAATTTCTCGACGCAAATGACGACGGAGTGAAATAAAAATTGGCGGTTATAATTGACAGAAGACACTTGGCTGGAGCGGAGAGAGACGCGAGATGCGACTTCTTCGAACGGAATTCGAAGGAAATCCCATTGAAAGAAATTCTGAATTATGTGTTTAGCCGTCCGTGATACACGGACGGCGAGACGACGCTGTGCGACGCGACGGCTCCAAGTAGCCCTGCTGAATTAAACTTGACAGCCGGAATCTCGCATCTCCCGTCTCTCTCTGACGAGCGCGCGCGAGATGCGCCTTCAAGAAAAATAATGGCGATAAATCCAGAAATTACGTCCAAACTGTGCGCAGGTATGCGAAATTAGCGCCTCTAATTACGAAACCGGCGAGGAACTATGCCCGCTGGGCAGCCGGCTAGTCCTCCTGTCATTTCTGATTAATCGACATCGATTTACTTAGGCAATACTTAAGAAGCCGAGACGAAGTACATTTGCCGTGACGCAGTCGGGTGTATAAATCGTATAACACTCCGGCGATCATCAACGGAATTTAGAAGCGCGTGCGCGGAGGCTGCACCGTGTTAAATTCTCGAACCGGAATTAACGTTTTCAACGTTGGAGGATCTGTTAATGACCGCCGCGAGTCGTCCCGCGATCGCGCATTACCCGCACAGATTTGTTCCTTCGATCCCGCTGATGAAGCAATGATTAATTATTACATATCCTTTCGTGTCAATAGCGATCAATTGCTTACATATCTACTTGGCGTCTCCGAAAGTTTCGGGTTGGCGATCGCGCGCGGTGAGTTTCGTCATGCGATACCGTTCATAGAGCCTTCCACGTTTGTGCTTCATGATGGATGACGGTCCTTACGAACTAGTCTGTGTACACTTGCCGCGCTCGATTCCTCTCTCGTCTGGTTCTTCAACCTCCGCGCAAAGTGGTCTATGGCGTAGCCCCGGGCCAAGATCTCGTAAATTCAATTTAAATATTTCGACCTTAATGATCGTCGGATCGCGGCGAGGAAGAAGAAGGCGGTCGACAGTCAAGGTCGATGTCGGCATCCGATAAAAGTGTATATTTTAATTAAGTAATTGGCAATCTTCCATCTCTCGCTTGTGTTGCAGATGTATCTGCTTTGTGCAATTTTCTATTTTTTTTTTTTTTTTTTTTTTTTTTTTTTACAAATTTATTTCGAGGATGTCGCGGAGTATCCAGCCTGCATAACAACATGCAAATTTAAGAAAAAAAGTCTCTTTAATTTCAGTTCGAAGTTTCCAGTTTATTCGAATGCTCATAATTTTATGGAGTTCATGTGAATTCTCAGCGACTTTTTCGCAATTATGAGAACACAGTTTTAAATAACGCGTTAATAGCATCTTCGAAATAATTTCGAAATATAACCAAGTGTACATGTATTGATATATCTCTTCCAGATGAAATACAACTTTTCAATGCCCGTTCGATCTTTCAAAAGCTTTTGAATTTTAAATGATGATTTATGAATTTATATATTCCGCTATGCATGTTGATTTACGTCATCGTGCTCATAAGATAAAGCCACGTGTATTCATTGCTCCGCGTATAATAATCTTATTCGGCGTGGCACAATTTTAATAAATATTCGATAAGGCCAAATCGAAATAAAGCTGCGTGGAGATACTTGATTTTATTAAATTGAAAGGCTTCCAAATGCGATTGAGTTTGTGCCGATTATCGACATTTCGCTCTCTTGCATTTAGCTCGTAAAGTCAATTCATTAAGACGATAAAGGCACGTAGCGATCTCCTCGCAAACAAAGGATATCAAGCCAGAAAGTATCTAATTAATCACACTAGATACTGTGATTAAGTGCAAATGTAAAAATCATTCAAGTCATCAATATTTCATATAACAAAGCAGTTTGTTCAAAAATTGCCACAAAATCGCAATAATCGACTCGATCAACTGTCAACTTTGCTCCAATCAACTTATCTTCGATACACTCGCTCGTATCTTTCCACTTAAACTTTTCTTTTTTATTCGCATTTGCAATTTAATGTCCATGCAACCGACGCTAACGTGGTATTTCTTTCTGATATCGTGTTAATTATTAATGATCTTGCAACAATTCTATTCACAAATATTTCGATGAAACAATTATGCGAG